TAACCAAGACTTGCCGAAAACCCTGAAATTTCACAAGAATGCCAATAGCTTACTCCAGACTACGCATTTCGAATATTTATATCCTTAATTCTTTCCAATTGACACTATTTTGCGAGCCCTTACAAAAGATTTCGAGATTTCAAAAATGTTTGTCTATGAAAATGGTAGCGCATACTTTAGCAAATCAAGCTGTTCGCCCAAGAAAAAAATTACCGGAATGAAGCACCTTAATTGAAGCGAAAACGACAACCCGAGACGTTTTGTCCAAGAAAAACCGGTCTATTCCTTTATGATTATTTTTTCATGTCTAAGGTCAGCGCCTAATATGGTGGAATATGGTGGATGGGGTAGGAGTTCGTAGCCCAATTGATGGATTTTTGCTATTGGTGGCTACACTTGTCTTGATGGAACAGCATCACGATCCTTGAGGTACCACCTTTCAGATAAAAGAAAAAGAATTTTCGAAATCAATTAACGTGGTCCAAAGTTATGCGGGAACATACATAAAAAAAACCATTAAAATATTCCGATGATTTGATAACCTCCTCCTTTTTTGAAAACATTTAAAAATGTGATGCACCCGCTCAGTTGAGATGCCTGCATCCTCAACCACCTCAGGAACTTCATTCTCCGTTCATCCAATATCATTTCGTGGATTTTGTCATCGATTTCTGGCATGACGACCTCTTTTCGAAATCAAAAACAGTACTATGTTAAGTAAATGAAATCACTCAAAACCAGGGCTCTGTTAGGAATGGCCAAGGCAAGTAGTACCTAAAAACCCACAACTGTATCTACAGGACATAAGCCTGTGCATTATCAAAAAGTCGGCATATATTTTAACAGGATATGCCAGAGTTACAAGAACCCAAGCCGAATGGAGGCAGTTAAACATTTTTTACGACACTTGACCAAACTTTCGTGCAGAGTATTATAGAGTTCAGACGCCTCCCTCTGTAAGATATATCGATAATCATCAATACCGCCAAGTGGATTTAGGAGTTCACGATTTAATTGTCACCAGGGCGACAAAGCACTTTCCCAACCAACCAAATGAAGTTAGATCTCTCCGAATCGGAATTCCTGATAAATCTTTTTTTTTTGTTTTGTGGTATCAATCAACTAATTATTTGAAAATTCCAAAGATTCCTTTTGATACTTATCAGCTAAAATAATTCAAAAGGCGAAACAATTTCATATTTAATTTGAAACCTCTTTCTCTATACTCCATGAACTTTTTGAGCTCCCCTCAGAGGAGGGACGCAGCTTGTTCGTATTAAACGTTTCAAGGCATTTGAGTACATCTATAAATATTTCAAAGTTTAACTTCTGTGCAAATATTCAATATTCAAGCATTTCCAGCAACCACAGTCTCTAACATTAGAGAAACGTTTTGATTTTGCATTAGAATTCTAGTGTAGTTTTCGAATCGAAAATCAGGTTAGGAAACTATGTTAAAAGAGAATGTCAATTAGAGAATATTAAAAAAAACGCTAGGCATTAGAAAGGAATTAGAATTCAATGTTAGAATACGATTAGATATCTAACCTTTTTCTTTATATCGAGAATTGTATAGTTCTCAACAGTCTTTTGAATCGTCTTCTTATCTTCTACCTTAGTGAAACACATTAGAATTCGAATCGCTTTCTAATCGTTCTCTATCCTAAATGTTTGTTGAGTTTGTTCTTCTGAGAATATAGATCCGATATAATGCTAATTAAGGTAGAATACTTAAAAGTGTAATTTATGTCGAAGGTTTTTATATACCCCGCCCGGCTATCATTGACTTTATCATAGAAAGATAGATATACAGACTTTGGGGTGTAGCAAGAAGCACTGCGACTTGAAAGATCTTTTGTATCCCGATATCTATGAGATTTAGACATGCATATACATTAGGGTAATTCAGAAAAAAAAAATTTTTTTTTTCCTGTGAACCATGCTCAAAAGTTTCGTTTAGACGCCAAAATAAGTTTCCGAAAATATGAGAAAAAATATAATTTTTCGATAAGTCAACTCGGTCAAAAATGATTCACCATTCTTTCGAATTTGACCTCGAATAACTTTTATCCTAGTTGATTTATTTAAAAATGACTTTCGACTTTTTTTGTAGAGCGTTCAATTCTCTACAAATCTTTACAATACAACGTATCGTTCGTTAAATATAAAAAATCAGAAGTAAAAAAAAAACTATTTTTCATGTGTTATTCTTATGGGAAATGGAAAAGTGCGATGCGGACATTCTTGGAACCGGTTGTTCAATGTCTGGTTATCACTACCTCCCAGTTAAACATCACTATCGACGATTATGACATCATGCATATGACATGTGATCGATAAAGAAGTCGTCGTATTTAACCGGAGCTTCTACCTCCGATTTGTGTTAACCAAACATTGAACAACCGGCCCTTAATATTAATATTAAGGGTTCGAATTTTCTGACACTTATTTTGGCGTCTAAACGTAACTTTTGAGCATGGTTTCGAGAAAAGGAAATTTACAAAAATGTCTGAATCACCCTTATATATATTTATGTTTTATTATATCTATTGTACAAATAACCGAAGACGGATTCGCTTAAATTACCACTTATTAGTGCGGAAGAGATTTTTATCACCTTCGTATTAGCGTAAGGTCAATAAGCGTAAGTTTGTATATATGTACATATGTATAGTGGCCCTAGTTCCAATAATTTTATCAGGATGGGTCTTCTATTGATATCACTATGCGACAGTCAAAATCGAGATGGGATGAAGCCAACGGGAAATGTTATATCGGTCAAAAACAAGTTATACGCGTCCCGGCGTTTCGCTGGGTCACGTCTAGGAATCGAGATATATATATAACTATCATATAGGGGAAATTGTCACCTTTGGTGGTCTTTTTTTGACATAACTCGAGAACCACTAGTCCGATTTTGCTCAAACAAATTTAAAAAAATTAAAAATTACAATTCCTTTAATCTGTTCATATAACGTTTTTCTATATAATCAACAGTTTTGCCGGTAAAAATAAATGTATGAAGAAAAAATATATTTTTTGCCTAAAATATAAAATTTTTTTATTTTTTAAATTCATAAAAAATCCAGAATGGAAAAAAAGGCAAGTATAAATAATATAAAATAAATATTATCCAAATTCATTGAAACATAAAATCAATATTCTTGTCAAAATGAGATACCTTCACTTAATTGTGAATAAAAGCGAAACGCGTCCATCGATTTTCATGATCTATGTCTCATTTTGCTTAAAGGTTATGTGACTTTGCGTGAAAGTAATACGACTTGCCTTTTTTTCCGTTTTGGATTTTTTATGAATTTAAAAAATAAAAAAATTTAATATTTTAGGCAAAAAATATTTTTTTTCTTCATACATTTATTTTTACCGGCAAAACTGTTGATTATATAGAAAAACGTTATATGAACAGATTAAAGGAATTGTAATTTTTAATTTTTTTAAATTTGTTTGAGCAAAATCGGACTAGTGGTTCTCGAGTTATGTAAAAAAAAGACCACCAAAGGTGACAATTTCCCCTATATGATAGTTACTAACTTCAAATCGATATATCTCGATTCCTAGACGTGACCCAGCGAAACGCCGGGACACGTATAACTTTTTTTTTACCGATATAACTTTCCCCGGTAGTTTGAACCCTTCCCGATCACTGACCCCTACCATTTGTCTCACAGTGTTATCTAAGCGGTTACAATAATATTTGTTCGTATATATACCCGTTATGTAGTTAAGTGTCAGCTCTCTCTTGAGCATGCTGACATGTCCGAGCCTTGGTTTATCGTCCCAGAACTAAGAGTATCCGCTTCGGGGAATCTCGAAATATTTTGGACCATCTCAATGACTAAGGATCAATTATATGGAAACAAAAGATCTTTTAGCTCTTGGTGTTTCTTATGCTACTAAATTAGATGTTAATAGTTACTTTAGGATTAAAATCAATTGAAATTAACTTTTAGTTAGTACAAATACAAATTTAGCTACAAAATATAGAATGAAAAAACTTCTAACATTATTTGGTAAACTTGAAATTCATAATCTTTTCTTCCGCTATACATATCTACTAAAAAGTACCTGCTGATTTTTGATTTTAGAAGAAGGCTTTGAGTGGGTGTCATTTGATCATTGTAATGGCTAGTCCGATAAAATTTGAGTTTTTGGTTAAAAATCATGGATGTTGGTAAAACTTTGCCTAACTGGGCTAATGCAAAAATTTTCCAAAAATAAAATGGAAAAATTCAAACAAGAAAATTAAATACTACAATCTCAAGTGTTCTGGGCCTTTAGATCTTAAAAATCGCAGAAAAAAAGTATGTGATTCTATTATTCATGTTCCCGAAAATATTTTGTTTACGAATCGCTAGCTATGGTATTTTAAAATTAAAAAAAAAAAAAAAAGCAATATATTTTTTATGCGGTTTAGGCTACCCACTAACGTTTGATTTGCGCGCGAATCATGGCACTAACGTGAAAAATTACGACGAACACCAATAAATCAGATATGTTTGTTGAACGTTAGTGGCTTGTTCTAGCCATTATTATTTTCAAATTACTCTCAGTTAAAGATATTGAAATACAAATAAATTTTATCCCAGTCGACTATTTTTCACTGAGACTTTGCCATGCCATTTTAATAAATAAATCGTAAAATTTCAATCAACCCAATTCTTAAACAAAATCTAATACTAATCCTAAAATTTAATTTAGATTTTCAAAAATTTTAATTGAATTTCTTCTCTCTCTTTCTGCGCTCTCATTGAAAAAACAAAACATTGAAAAATATTTACGTTTACACAAAATTCCGCTACTCTAAAATGCGCACCTGCTGTACGGCTTCCTTGCACTCTGTGTGTGTGTTGCTGTTGCTATTACTCACTGCACACTGCTGAAAATTTCACCAAACAAATCACCATAAAATAACTAAAATTGAAAACCGCACAACCGTAACACTCTCGCTCCGCTCCGTCAAACATACCTGTGCACTGCAGCAGTCAGCAGACACGCGAACCAAATGATTCGCATCAAGGTTGCAATGGTAATTGCAGAAATGTCAGTTGTAGCCAGCGTAGCCACGACGAGCAGCATCAAGAGCAACAAGAATACAGTTGCGGCAGCGGTGGTGACACTGGCGATGGCGATGGTGGTGGTGGTGGTAGTGGTAGTAAACATAGCAATCAGGATAATAACAATTTGTGCAACAGTTGTAACCAACAACAACAAAACAATGCGTCTGACAATCAAACGAGCATCGATAGTCGCACCAAGGGAGTAACACTGGCACCCCAAACGCACAGTGGGCCCACAGGACCGCCGGACACGATTATGGAAGCAGATCCGGAAACTGAAGCAGCTGCGGAAGCGGATAACGATAACGTGACGACAGCAACAAGCGATGCGAAAACCGGTGCGCAAGCAGAGCAAGGGCACACAAATGCCAGCGAGGCAGAGGCGGCGGCGACGGCGGGGGCGGGGGCATCAAAAGTTAGCTTTGCTGATGGTAAAAGCGAGAAACAATGCAGTGGTGGTGGTCATCGTGGTGGTGATGGTCAGAGTGTCGGCAGCAGTAGTAGTAATAAAGCAACCATGCAGAGGCAAAGGCGCCTGCGCACACCGGTCTGGGCGAGGTCCATGTCGTCGACGACAAATAAAACGTACATAAAAGTTTATATCAACTGTTTTTTTATAGTTCTCACCAGATTTATTGTTGACACTAATTTGTTATGTTTTTTTTTTTGTTTTCATTGTTTAACTAAATTTAATTATGTACAATAAAATGTATTATAAAACTTTTGAGCGATTTTCGTTAAACTTTAACCCCTTTCAACCCGTTCGGTTCGTTGAGTTATATACTTGTATACATACTTACTATATATATATCTATACAATGAAACTTTAATAACTTGCACACTACCAAAATACTTAATAAACATTTTAGCCAAACTAAAACAACAAATAAAAACCACATTCTGTATAAAACTGCTGTATCGGTCTCTTTTTGGCAAACATTTTGCGTCTTCTCTGTCTTGCTCTAATGTATATGTCTTCTTTTAGCATTCTATTCTTCGTCTATCCATCTGTGAAACTGTCTAATATATTTATAACTTCCGTACCTTGTATAAGTCTTTTCCAGCAAACTCCGATAACTTAACCTAACACTTTATCTAATTTTTATCTGTAAATTGTTGCTGTATTTCGCACAGTTTTTTTTATTTATGTTTAATATTTAATTACTATTTTTGCTAAAAGTTGGTCGCATGATTTTACTAAAAATATAAATATTTAATTCTTTCTTACTTTAAGTTTAAGAAATCCGCATATTGTTATCAAATTTCGAAGTAACGGTTTGTTTTGCACTTAAAAAATGTTTGTTATAAATGCATATGAATATATTTCATGCCAGAATTTTAAGGTTGGTTTAACTGCTTATTAGGTAGTAGTTGAAAAATAATGCAAATAAGGAATTGGTTCACTTAACACATTTCATCGCTATTGACTGGTTTAGATTAAGATCAAACATATATGTACCAGCAATAGGAAACCATAAGGTAATCTGCACAACAATTTTAATTATTATATTATAATATCACTTAACACATTCCCATAATATTAAATGTAATAGCCGAATGTCGGCGAATAAATTGCCTGGACCAGAAGCTCGACGAAAGTTTGCAGCACATAATTCTCACATTGCTAAGGCATATTTTCATATCCATTTTAGTATCCAAAATAAATGAAACTATTGTATTTTATATGTATTACTTTAACTTTGTCTGCTATATTTCTGCAGTGGGGAAATGACGCAGTAGATTGTAATTCTATTTTTTCATTTCCGTCTGTATAGGAAACCACTTTTGTTTCGTACTATGAGTGTTGCCAGATTTCAAACCCTTTGGGCGGCTTTCGGGGTTCGAACATTTATTTTTATAAAAAATTTTCCATATTTTTATTTTTTTCTCCAAATATGTAAAATTATATACATAGATACATATATATAACTAAATGAAAGGTAATTCAATTACCTTTAAAATTCACATTTTTAAAATCAGTTCAATAGTTTTCGAAATATAAGTTTTTAAAAACACTGAAAATTCCACGTTTAGACTCCCTTAGCGACATCCTTGTTAATTTGCACCCAAAAAAATTATACCTTTAAAATCAGGAAAAGGGGGAGGGGCGCGGGCTAAAAAAAAAGTGCCCTCCCCCTATTCTCTAGGTGTTCCACGAATTCTCGAACGTTAAACGATTAAAATATTCTCACATAGGAATATTTATATTTGAATAAACGAAATCACATGTAATTATCATAAGAGGGAAAGCGTTTCGCTTGCACACACTGCTTACTAACGATCGGCCACGTTGGGTGCAACCATGTAGGCTGAGTGTGCAGTGAACACAGCCAGACAACGAGCAATTTGCTCAGCTGGCAGTAGGTTCATTCCTTATCTTTTTGGACTAAAATCTGAAAAGTGTCAAAATGCCAGAGCGTAAGCAAAATGCGCTCACTAAAAGAGAGTAACAGGAAAAGTAAAGGAACGCAAAAAACCAAATTTTTAGTCCAAAGAATGGCAACAACAAAACTAACGTCAAATAAGAACAGAAATGTATGTACAAAACACATTCACACAAGCACAAGCACAATAAACACTTGCTATATCAATTATTTTTTGCCTCCTTCCAATTTCAATTCATTTCTTTTACTTTTTAGATTATTCTCACTTTTTGCGTATTCTTTAATTTCCGTTAATTTAAATTCAGTTGAGTTTGACACTTTTCAGGATTTTGCCAGAAAAAATTCTTCTGACTAAATCTGACTACTTCGGACTGATGAGAGTCGCTCTCACTGACTGTTGCTCTCTCATTTTTGCTGTCATTTCCGAGTTAAGGAACGCTTTTTGGACTAAATCTGACTACTTCGGACTTTTTCTGACTATTTCTGGGAGATAAGGAACGCGCATAATTTGACAGCTAAAAGTTGCCGCCAAAAATACAAACAAACCAGTGGCGGCTAGCAATTATAAACGCGTGTCGAATTTATACATTTTCAATGGTTGTTCGTTTGTAAAATAGCTTTAAACATTTAATTTTATTTTAATACAATATGTCCAAAGTTAAAAGTGATAAAGCCGTATCATCTGAGAAAAGTGTTCACGGTGAAAATAGCGATGACTCGGGTGGTGTAAGTTTATTTTCCGTTTATACATATTTTTGAGGAAACCTGAATTATAATTTGTGTGTCATTGATTTTTTTCAAAGGATGATACCGCCAGTGTTAGCACGAATAATACTTCACGCAGCAAGTCGCCTACCGCTCGCCGATCTCGTGGCTACAGACGTAGCAACAAAGCAAAAGCGCGGAAACCAGCATACAAATATGAGTAAGCTTGATTGTTTGCTGCTAATATAATTTGTATATGCGTTTAATTTGCTTTAGTTATCATGTGAAGGAAAATCATGGTCAGGCCATTTTTGGCATTAGTTTCAATCATTGGCTGGGTAACGATCAGCCGCATATATTCGCCACTGCCGGCAGCAATCGCTGCACCGTTTATGAATGCCCACGTCAAGGAAGTATTAAATTGATTCTCTGCTACGCAGACCCGGATGTAAGTTAATGCATTTCCATGTAAAGTAGATAAAAAGTAATCAATCTTATTCATTTGCAGCCAGATGAGGTATTTTACACATGCGCATGGTCGTATGATATTAACACATCTTTGCCATTACTTGCCACTGCCGGCTATCGCGGAGTAATACGCGTTATTGATGTGCAAAACAATGAGACTGTAGGTAATTATATTGGCCATGGACAGGCCATCAACGAACTGAAATATCATCCGCGACAACCGCACTTACTGCTCTCTGGTAGTAAAGACCATGCCATACGCCTTTGGAATACACAGTCACATGTTTGTATTGCAATTTTTGGTGGTGTAGAGGGGCATCGCGATGAGGTGCTATCGATTGATTTTGATTTCCGCGGCGAACGTATTATGTCCAGTGGAATGGACCATTCATTAAAACTGTGGTTCATAAACACCAACGATTTTAAGGAGAAAATCGAATTGTCACGTACATTCAATCCACAGAAATCACCGCGACCATTCCCAACAATAATGCAACATTTTCCAGATTTCTCTACGCGCGATATACATCGCAATTATGTAGATTGTGTACAATGGTTTGGCGATTATGTACTCTCTAAGTCATGTGAAAATTCCATTATCTGTTGGAAGCCTGGACAACTGCATCAAAGTTTGTCCTCACTTAAACCAAACGATCCGTCATGCACCATTATAGCAGAATTCGATTACGATGAGTGCGAAATATGGTTTGTACGGTTCGGCTTTAACCCGTGTCACAAAATAATTGCATTGGGCAATCAGCACGGCAAAGTATATGTGTGGGAACTTGATCCTGGCGATCCGGGGCATACATACACAAGTACGCTAAATAATTTAAAGTGTAATTCTGTTGTGCGGCAGGTAGCATTCTCACGCGATTCCAGTGTGCTGGTTTATGTATGTGACGATGGCACAGTCTGGCGTTGGAATCGAACCAATATGGTACAAAAAACGCCGTGAAGGTTACTACTAATAAGAAACGTCTTTCAAAATTAACCAAATCGTAAATGCCAATTAAAATATACCAAACTGCTGGAAGAGGAAAACCGTGAAAGTCAATTGCGAAAATGGATTAATATGCATAGTTACTAAGCTAGTTGTTGTTTTTTAATATAAATTTAGTGCAACAAGATTTATATAGTTTATATATTTTAGTCGGATAATTAGAACAAAAAAAGATGCTGCGTGACACTTTTTCAATTAAAACTTGTTTTTTTTTATCAACTGTGCATATCAAGTGGCAATAATTAATCATAATTGGAGTTCTTGAAAGCAGAATAACTGCCGTTTTCCTACCATACTTGAAATTTATATATCTTGAACGGTTAATACTCTTTGATGTTAAACGAACCTCTGAGTTAAATACACCTAATTAAAATCTCATTAACTTAGATAGACACAAACTGTTAAAATTTACATATAAATGTACTTATTGCATTACATACGTGCATATGTATGTACATACATACTTTATAAAATTAGCATCTTCATTTAAAATTTAATTTCTATATAGTATATTACCGAGATAGATTATTTGTAAACAAAAAAATTTAGTCCCGAATAAATACATTTAAAACTAAGCTTAGTCGAAACCGAATTGAATTATTAACTAACTACATAATATCAAAACTTAATTGAAATTTTGAAAATGAAAAAGCGGAAATCGCTTACGGTATTCAATAAATTCGTTAGCTCTTTCAGAGGCAGCGTTGATCGGGACCAACTCAGGAATTTGCTGCTGTTGATCCGAGTTAATCAGGTTTAACGCTGCGTCTGTTTAAGCTTTTAGTATCCTTCGGCAAATAAATCTCACCACAAGAAATTACGGCCGTCTACTGAGCAATGACATCAACAAAGCATTAGTTAGTCAAAAACGAATTAGTTAGCCCGTAGTCAATACTCCGAACGTGATCTGTTGCCATAATTAGTTTTACATTACATTCGGCAATTGCATCTGATATCAACGGACTACATGCTTTTTCCATTTTTTAAATCTCACATCATTTTGCCTTTTTTGTTCACTTCATTTATTACTCATACCAATGGAAGCATCTCAGCTACTTCTGTATTCATCAACCCACCATAGGACATAATGAGTGGACAACGATGGTAGTTTGATGTTACGCAACCACTTATTGAAAAAACACCCTGAATATCTGAGCTGCTAACAGAGCGGATGTGTACTGTAATACAAACCGGAAAGGATGTGGATGTATTTGCAGAGACGAATTAGGAAACTGATTTTGAAGAGTAGTATGGGCAATCTTTGCGTTTTGCTTTACGGAAGACCATTTTCAATATGTACATATGTGTATGTGCGCTCGTCGACCTGCATTTTCAAAGCTAAGTAGACGGCAAAATTAGGTACAGATAAAAGTATGTTTTGAAGGACTGTCAACAAAGTAATCTATTTCGACTGAGCAGCACTTAATACCAGCAAAACATTAGTATACTTTAGTATTAATGTTGACCAATGTAGAGACTTTTACATACATTTTTGATAAAGCAACTTAGGAGAATTTAACAAATTCTTTTTCTAAAGTAGATTGAATATTTTCGATTTGCTGTGTAAACGTAGAATTTCCACTGTATAAATTGGTAACATTTTTTTTATGTAGTTTTTTTAAAGAATAAAATTGCCTCCCATATTCGTAAATTACTTAAATAGACACAGGTATTTCGTCGTCACTTGCAAAAATACGTTTTTAAATATTTTATACGGGCATGTTCTGAAATTCGAAACCTTGAAATCGACTCGATTTGCCAAATATTTTTTAATTATATCTAATGAAAAGAGTGAATATTCTAATTGAAAACCATAAAAGAAGCAGCAGCGATATGAAATAAATAACTTTAATATGACACTTATAAATTTTTTAATTAAAAACCATCGAAAAAATTATCGAATTCGAGTCGATTTCAAATTTTCGAATTTCAGAACATGCCTGATAGTTTCCTTAACACATTCTGCTAAACTTCAAGGCCACAATATAAAAAAAAGATCCAGACTTATTGAGCCGTATGAATAAAGGATAAGCATAAAGTGAAGTTGAGTCTGAAATTTTAATAAAATGCAATTGCTAATTCATGCGGCCCATTGAAATTTATAGAACAATCTTAAACATTCCTTATACAAATAACTTTTTTGCTTCGCTCATAAAACTTAAAATTTGACATTTAGCGCTTTTGCATTGATGAAGAGAGTTGAAAATATTGTAGTGATACAAGATTTAAGTGCCCTCAGCAACTATACATTCGATTAAAATTAACAGCATCTAAGAGTTTATAATTACTTAAGCAAATAAGAAGTGACTATCTCTTAATACATACAAACATTCATTCATACATACTTCGTTATGGCATCTTTTCACCTCAATCAAAAGCAAAAACTATGCGATATTTTGATTATCTTATTATTAAGTCTTTATGAAGCTATGGAAAAAAATCAGTCTTCTATAATAAATCGACGTATCAGCGTAGCAAATGCTCAAGAAAAAAATCACAAAGTTATTGTTTGCTTTTAAAAGCACTTTCAACATCATTTTTGCAACAGAATAACCATGCCATATATTTTTGAAAGAGGACATTATTCTAGACATTTTTTTGTCTAAGTTTTGCTTTATTTGCACTTAAAGGTTAAGTGGTAAAAAGACTTACTGCTTTGATGTTTGAGGAAAAGTTGTTTATTAAAAAAATAAAAAATAAACGAGTGGGTGGGTGATGTGTCTAACTGCAAGCAGTGACCACCTACCATATTTCACCACCTTTTTAAAGATTTTCGCACTTTTTCCCAAAGTATGCTAATATTAGTTAAATATTTACAATAGGTGTATGATGTGTTCGGGAAATCGTTTCTTGTAAAAATATAGAGATAGTATTCAACCAGATAAAGATAAAGAAAAACTTAAAAATTTCTCTCATACTGTTTATTTTATTTACTGTCCGAACGTTTTTTTTTTTTATCGGAACTAAATAAACTTTTGCTGGCTAACCAGAATTGTGAGGCTGGGGTATTTAGCAAGAGCTGTTAAAAGTTAAAATATTTGAAATACTCTAAACTGCCCACAATATGTATGTAGCTGTGGTTGTAGTGTATTTTTGCTGATGTAGCTGACATATGTAGCTAGCGAGATAGCTTGTGGCTGTGGTACTACATTCTGGTTAGCCAGTAACTCGTGCACTCGGGCTACATGCCGCTCGTTGTACTGTGTTCTTGCCCCTTTTAATCAGTTTTAAATCCACTTAATTTACGAATAAATCGATGTCGGTTGTTGCGTATTAAGTAGCTCTGGTCATGGGCGAAGCCAGGTAGGGGCAAGGGGGTGCTTGAGCCCGCTTCAGCTCGATCAGCCTCAATTCGTTGTCGGACGTTTTGTCGTGCAGGCTGAGTTTCGGACAGTAGGGCCAAAGATCCCATCCTCTCCCACCCATCTAATACCTAATTTGCGCTCCTTTAGGTAGCAAATGTAGTAGACGTCACAAGGCCCCAGCATTTTTTCCATTGCCCCGTTCATTGTTTTTTTTTAAGTTGTTGATGTCAGCCTTAGTCTTCCCGAGGACGAGGCTAGGCAGAGGCACCTTTCCCATTAAGGATCCGGATATTCCAGGTTCCATACCCTCAAATTATAGGCTTTTATCCGTTTTCCGTGGCCGTCATCACAAGGCTTGGTTTTCCTTTTCATTGGGAAGGATTTTTGCATCGCCAATTCCAGCGCATGCAGAGTTTTTCGCCTTCTCACTTTGGTTCGCACCCAAGCGAGTGTTTGGTCGCTACTCAGAGGATATGTGGATATAAATAGCCGGGCGTCATGAGCTGCAATCGAAACGTACGCAAAAGATTCACTTCTTTCCACTCCCTAGTGAATGGCAGTCAAAAGCTTTCCCCACTTGCGTGGACTTCTGCGCACGGAGCTATCCCACAGCAAAGAAGGGTTATGGTTCCATTGGCCATATAGCTGCTATTTCTTTGCTGCTCATCTATTAGCCTCATCATTGCCACGTATGTATGTATGGCCAGGAATCAACAGTGTTGTGTTGTTCCCACTACCATATGTCATTTGAATTAACATTAAGATTTGGCGGTTTAAATGTCTCTGAAGACACATGGCTGCGCAAATGCTACTTGGAAGAGGATGGGGTATTCCCCCTTGGGACAAATACCTGCCTCAGTTTTTGAATCAATTATTTCCTCCCCATGTCTGTGCGATGACTATGTGAAGTAAGCGCCCGAATGTATTACGGTCGCATACCTCTGAAGTCCGCCTCGGAAGTCTCGTAAGTGATCCACTCACTATTTTGGAGGTTGTCCTCTCGGGCCGTGCCACCTTTCCATATGTTTCTATTCGCCAGACTATCATGGTGTACATCCAACGAAGGATGATTTACCGGCCAAACTGCTGCTAAGATAATTTCAAATCTTGGTAAGACAGTAAGCAAGATAGTTTGATAGACTTTCTTTATTCCGGCACACAGAAAAAGCTCTCTTGCCAACATTCATGGTGAAAAGCATTTTTAGCAATTATATCATTTTGCTCGCGCTGCTCCAACAGTCGTAAGGGTCGAGTGAGCAAGGCACTGGCGTGCCATGCGATAGATGAGGGGTCGAACTGTCAACGACGTGAAAAAGTCGGCCATCGTACGAACACAAATTATGACATATGGGTGTTTCCATCGGAAAGAGTACTGCGGAAGCAAAAAATAAAAATCGTATATCTAACGTATTTATGGAACAATTTATCTGATTTTTAAATATATGCATGCAGAAACATTTTTGCGAAAAATGGTCTTGCTAGGTGGCGCCAGTGTCGAGATATTTATATTGAAAATCCGTATTTATGATCCGATTTGGTTCGAATTTGGCGTATGTAGTTGAGACACAATCGCCATCCAAGAAATGCGTTGGACGGGGCAAGGCAAAGAATGTCTGGGGCCTTGCGACGTCTACTACAGCTGCCATGTAAAGGAGCGCAAATTCGGAGTTGGATTTGTGGTGGGAGAGAGACTCCGTCGCCGAGTACNAAAGATCAGGTGGAGAAGGACTTGGCTTCACTTGGCGTTTCCAATTGGCGTCAGTTGGCACAGAGGAGAAACGACTGGCGTGCTTTGCTGAACTCGGCCAAAATCGCTTAGGCGGTTACAGCGCCAAAAAAGAAGAAGAAGAAGTTGAGACACAATAAATCATGGATTTCCAAAAAATTTACCCTTGGCACTGAAGTCAAAATATAAAGTATATTCGACATAAAATGCATGTTTTATATGTGTTAAAAATTCATTTTAAGAGCAATATTAACAAAAATATAACGATGGAAACTTATGTCACGTTACGCCATGTCACATAACGTTTCCCATGCGATTTCGTAAGAAAAGAAAAAATCAACTTCCATTTTTGTCACATAACGTCACTCTTGCGTATATTTAAGGACCATGCGGTCCGTTTTTTTTTTCTTT